GGAAGGAAGGAAGGAAGGAAGGAAGGAAGGAAGGAAGGAAGGAAGGAAGGAAGAAAAGAGTGGCAAAATAATAACTGCTGTAACCACAACAGTTGGAAACCACCAGCTGCTCCATGTGAGCAAGTTGAGGCTTTCATCGCCGGTAAAAGGTTTACAGTCTCAGACACCATTAAAAAGAGCAGTTCTACACTGACCTATAGGATTGCTATGAGTCGGAATCGATTCGATGGCAGTCAGTGTGGTTTTCTGATAACTAACTCATGGTGCTGGGATGAGAATTCAAATAAGATATGAAAATGCTTTCTAAACTTAAAAATACTGATGTATAAATAAAGGAAAGGCCCCCTGGTGGCATAGTGGGTTACAAGTTGGGTTCCTAGCTTCAAGGTCCGCAGTTTGAACCTGCCAGCTAAAGATTTACAGCCTTGGAACCCCTATATAGGACTCGCACAGAGTTGGAGGTGACTGAAAGTAGTGAGTGATAAATGAAGGCAATGATTACCCTCCTTCTCCTGTTTCACTCCTAACTGCCTTCCATCTTGGTAGATCTCATCTGCTTTTTTTCCAGTTCCTTTATGCCTTCTACTCTCTTCCACAGGCTCCCTGGTGGTGTAGTGGTTATGCCTTGGGCTTCAATCCACAAGGTCGGCAGTTCAAAACCACTAGCTGTTCTGCAGGACAAAAACGGGGCTTTCTGTTCCCGTAGCAGTTAGTCTCAGAAACCTATGGGAAGAGTGGGTTGTCACTATGAGTCAGCAGTGATTTTGAGTTTACTCTCCTCCATTGAGCCCCTGGTGCCACTGTGGGCTAGGTGTTGGGCTGCTGAGAGAAAGGCCAGCGGTTCAAGCTGACCACCTGCTCCGTGGAAGAACAATGAGGCTGTCTGCTATTGTCAGAATTGACAGTCTCAGAAACCCTATATAGAGGTGCTGTGAGTAGGAATCAACTCAATGGTAGTGGGGTTTTTGGTTGACTCACCTCCATTGGTTGTCAGCCCACTTATTCCTCCCTAGAGGAGCTCTGGTGGCCTAGTGGGTTCCGCATTGGCCTGCTAGCCACAAGGTCTGCAGTTGGAAACCACCAGCCACTCTGCAGGGGGAAAGATACGGCTTTCTATTCTCATAAAGAGTGACAGTCCTTGGCTAGACCAGAGGAGGTACACTGGTACAGATAGGAACTGAAAATACAGGGAATCCAGGATGGATGAGCCCTATAGGACCAGTGGTGTGAGTGGCAAAACAGGGAGGGTAAAGGGAGAGTGGGTAGGAAAGAGGGAACCGATTACATGGAACTGTGTGTGACCTCCTCCCTGGGGGACAGACAACCGAAAAGTGGATGAAGGGAGAAGTCGGACAGGGCAAGATATGACAAAATACCCATTTATAAACTATCAAGGGCTCATGCGGGAGGGGGGAGCGGGGAGGGAGGGGGAAAATGAGGACCTAATGTCGGGGGTTTAAATGGAGAGAAAATGTTTTGAGAAACGATGTACAAATGCGCTTTACACAATTGATGTGTGTATGGATTGGGATAACAGTTGTATGAGCCCCTAATAAAATGTTAAAAAAAATAAATAAAAATAAATAAATAAATAAATAAAAATGGAGGGGGAAAAAAAACGAAAAAAAAAAAAAAAAAGAGTGACAGTCTTGGAAACACACAGAGATAGTTCTACTCTGTCCTACAGGGTCACTATGAGTCAGAATACACTGAATAATAGTGAGTTTGGTTTGGCTAGTCCCTCTTAAGCTACTTGGGAAAAATCTGAAAGAAATTTCTAAACTCGTATTAATTGCTCCTCTTTGCTCTACCCTTCTTTGCCCCTACCCCCACACATCTCCCCACTTCCTCTAGTCAAAGCCCAAACTTTTGGTTTCTGGTGGAGGTAAGGCAATGTAGCGCAGGAGAAAGAATGCGGGTTCTGGAGTCAAACAAACCATAGTGGCTACTTTATAATGTTTCTGTGGGAATTCACTGAAGCAATAATTTAGGTAAAAGGCTTGGCTCAGGTGGTAATGAGTCAATGCATAAAGAATAGCTATTATTATCAGCTGAGAGGAATGGGCTTGATGGCTGCATGCGACCTTGGTCAGGCTCATGGTCATTTGTAGGGAGAGGCAGACAGAGATGTTTTTTGACCCTCCATATCTCAATCCTCTGGCCTATGTTACTATTGTCCATTGAGCCCCTTGAGCTGCTTATGTTCTATGGCTCTTCTCACATGTGCAGGCAGACACGCAGCCTCTCAACTTGTCCTTTCCACTTACCAGCCTCCTCTCTGCTCTGAGCAGCCTTAGGATGAGCAGGTGGACATGACTTGAATCCTGCCAGGGCAAGAGGGCAACCAGACAGTTATCATTCCCTAATGAGCCCGCTCCGTTTTCTGTCCTTTCCAATCTGATGCTGGCCGTGCAACCAAATTAGCAGAGGCCCACACAATAACATTTTAATCCCCACACAATAACATTTTAAACCATATGCACCTGGAACACTCCCCCCCCCCACACACACATTCTGGGTCCTACCCACTGGTTTAGTGCCATGCTCCATGTGGAGATGCTTCCAGGGGGTCTGTGAATGGACCCAGCCTCCTCTCACTGGACCAACCAGAGTATCTCCAAACCAAACCAAAAAAAAAAAACCAAAACCCTCAATAGCAATCCAATAGGACAGACAGAGTAGAGCATCCCCTATGGGTTTCCAAGACCATAATTTTTTTGGTCGAATGTTTTTTTTTCTGTTTTGTTTTGTTTTTACAGTTTTATTGGCATTTAATCCACATATCACACAATTCAGTAGTTCAATCGTATCAGGGAGAGTTGTACATCCAAGACTGGAAATCTTTACAGGAGTAGAAAGACTCATCTTTCTCCCATTCAAACCATCGCTCTACTGATGACATAACTATGACCTTATACAAAGTACTTCTCTGAGCAAAAGTAGTGCCTCCTTTATAATGTTTCTGTGGGAATTTCCCGAAGCCATCGTTTGTTGTTTATTTATTTGTTTTTATGTAGATTTATTACTGCTCCCATGGAGTGACTGGTGGTTTCAAGCTGCTGACCTTGTGCTTAACAGTCCGGGGCACTGGGGTTCTGTTATATCTGAAAGTTCTGCATACGAATTGATTTGAGGAAAAGTGTTTTGCCACTTAAAAGGAATGAAGATTGAAAGTCATTGATCTAACCCATTGTGTGCAGGGCTCGCCTAGAGGCCTTGGCAGACCATAGTGGCAAGCTCCAGCTCCCTCTCCAAGAGATCATTGACTGGCTCAGCCAAAAGGATGAAGAGTTGTCAGCTCAGCTGCCCCTACAAGGGGATGTGGCCCTGGTGCAACAGGAGAAGGAGACCCATGCGGTAGGTTTGAATTGTAGAAGCCATAGTGTTTTGCCTCTCAGCTGGGCCTGGGGCCCTTCCTCATGACCCTGACAGCCAGCCAGCCCGCACTGCTTAGACTCTGAAAGTAATAGGGCATGGTATGCAGTCCCACTAGTCTGTAGATTTCTTCCCACCAAAATTAGTAACATCTTTCCTCTCTGTTCTTTCTTTCAGATATCAAACTCCCTTAAAATCATGCTGCCCTGATTTTTATTGGGGACTCGGAGGAAAACTTATTATCATATGATGTCAAGTTTAAAAACAAAGCAATAAACAGTA